GGCATCAATGTAGTGACCAAGGTACTCCACACTCTCCTGTATGAAGCTGCATTTTGTGATGCGTGCATGTACATTGTACTCCTCCAGCCTCTTGAGTACCTCTGCAAGGATTTGGTAATGGCCTTCTTTATCTGTAGAAGAAATAAGGATATCGTCAATATAACATACAACTCCTTTGATCCCCTTTAGAATTTCATCCATCACACGTTGAAAGATTTGTGGGGCCGTTTTGATTCCGAAAGGCATTCTCTCATACTGAAGTAGGCCAMTAGGTGTATTGACTGTCAAAAGTTCCTTTGATCCATCRCTCAACTTCAGCTGTTGAAAAGCGTTAGCAAGATCAATTTTTGAAAAATATTTGGCTGGGCCAATTGTTGACAGCAACTCTTCAGTTGAAGGTAATGGGTAGGGATCTGCTTCCAGGAACTGGTTTACAGTGACTTTGTAGTCCCCGCACAGCCTAAAGTCTCCTGATTCCTTTACCACCGTGACCATAGGGCTCGCCCATGTACTTGATTCAACCTTTCTGTACACCCCCTTGTCTACCCCCRACAGCAATTGCTCKGTGACTTGGTCTCTCTTGGGGTACGGTACTGGATAAGGTTTCCTGAATACATGCTTTGTATCAGTGGGAACCCGAATATCAGCTTCAAATCCCTTGATGACSCCYTTTTGTTCTGTGAAGACATCTTGGTATTGAGATAGCAGACTTCTAAGACGAGAKTCGTCTCTTAGTGAGAACACCTTTCCCCAATCAAGCTTGATTTCCTTTAACCAAGTTCTTCCTAGCAGAGAGGGCTTWCTTCCCTTTGCAACAATCAGAGGCAGGACTTTCTCTTCATCGTTATACTGAACTTGTACTTGRATCTCCCCCAGYAGGTCTAGGGTGTCCCCCGAATATGACTTTAGACATAATGGGGTATGTGATAACACTCGATTACTAAACAATTCTTTATAAGTGTTCTCTCCAATAATGGAGACGGATGCTGCTGTGTCAAGCTCAAAGACRACTGGCTGGTTATCTACCTTCATGGATACAGTGTACTTATCATTAGGCTCTCCTGGTGACTTGTTTTGATTGACCTCTACGGTGACACTTTGTGATGAAGTTGGGCTCCTTGAATCTGTTGTGGGACCCACCCTCTCTTTAGTGATGTGGTAGATTGTTGGGTCTAGTTGGCTGGTTTCGGAGTCGTACTCACACTCTGGCATAGCATTCACCCTTCCCTAACGCCGTTGGTTTCTCTTGCCCCTGTTTTGGGAAGCCATCCATCTTGCAATTTCGTCACACCTGCTTTGGATGTGACCCACTTTATTACATTTATGGCAAGTGGCAGATCGAAATCTACAATTGTTGGGAGTATGAGACGATTGGCCACACCTCCAACAAACTTTCATCACTTTGTTAGAATTTTGCTGCACTAGATTCACATTATTTTGGTTGCTTTGTTCTTGTACAGAGTTATCCAATGCCGAGCATGAGTTGGCTGCAGCAATTTCGCTATTAGCAACTTTTACGGCCTCACTAAAGGACAATTTCTYTTCTTGAATCAACCGAGCTTGTGCTTTGGGAAAGTTCAGTCCCACTACAAACTGCATACACAGTGCATCGTCTAAGAACGTTTTGAAATCACAAGTAGCACTCAGGCGTTTCAAATCGACGGCAAAATCTGCGATGGACTCGTTTTCTTGTCTTACACGCTTACCAAATTGGTAGCGTTCAAATATGAGCAATGGTGTTGGTTTGTAGTGTTCACTCAACTTGGTGATAATTTCATCCCATCCTCGTCGCCAAAAATGTGGTGTATGTAAGACAGATTAAACCAAACAGCCGTTTGCTCAAACTCCATTTAATCAATCCTCAAAGCGCATGCGCCAATCCCTGAAACAGGGAACCCGGTAACATAACATGGCGCAATGTACTACAAGACATTTCCTCAAGTCAAATGTCCCACTGCTCCCCGGGTAGCTGTGAGCAGTGCTTTCTACTGACAAGTGCATATTCGCGAAAAGGTGACAGAAATGAATGAATTGAATTGAATNAAAATAAACTTTTATATTTTATTTTATTGATTCTTTTTATTGTTTTTGAATTTTATACAATTTTGTCTTTCTTGAGATATTTTGTGCAAGTTTTTGTGCATATTTTGATATTAAATATAAAATATTCAAGTCGATTGTATTATAGGTTCCTCCACAGGCATCACTAGGAGTCACGGGATTCCTGTCTTTCTCTGTTTCAATATGACCGTATTCCTATTCACCAGGCTCAATAGCTAAGTATAAAATATGTCGTTTGAACAATATTTTTTCCCCTTAACTTATATTATTCTAACATAAAAAACACGTCTCTTACCTTCCTGGTTGAAAATATTTCGATTTGTAGAGGCTTTACGCCACAGTTTTGATGTGCCATTGTTTAACCTCTACTTGACCCTACTTATATTAAACAATTCATATCAGTCGGTAGTATTGATGCAGTCGAATTTAAACTGGGAAAAACTGTAATAATAGATTGTTTCACAACTTCAGAAAATCATTTTCTGAACCTGATGTGTGGCATCGATCATATGTCATGAACCAGGCTTACGATACCAGAGATTGGTCACCGGAGGGATGGCTAGGAAACACCTCCCCATGAAAACTAACCTTAGAACACTGATACACTAAAAAGACAATGTAAACGGCTAATTAAGGCAAAGTTGGATGGCTGAATTTATAGCCTTCAGTGTAGAACAATTTCATCAAAAGTCACTGTCTCCTACATGTATTGATCTAGCGACGCACTGAAAACATTAAAGTCTCATTTCCGGGGCGGATCCAGGGGAGGTGCTTTGGGTGCGGTTGCACCCCCTTTTTGGACGACGTAAAGTTTTTATATATCAGTATAAACGTTTATTTATTTGTTTGTTTGTTTTTTTTTTGTTGTTTTTTTGTTTTGTTTTTTTTTTTGCTGTTTATACTTCTGTTGTGCTTTTATAATATAACAAATATAAACATTTCCACCCAATTCAAACCACCTGGGCGTGAGCCGTAAGTTTCATTGTTCGTTGTATTTTCATTCCACAGTTGAAGTTCTTTTGCCAAGAGTATTTGAATTTGGTTGAAAAGTACATTTCTACGTTAGCCATCTAGGTCTATTACATAATGTTATTTAGGTATTATTTTTACAAGAGCTATATGTTACTTATTGGGATACCTGTGTCATAGTACTCTTGGATTGCAATACCAACGCGTCGACTTACAAAACTGACAAAGTAAAACACTGAAGGTTATTAAAATATAGAGAAATTTTAGCGAAAATCGGAAAGAAATGGAATGAAATGAAACAAAAGAAAGAAAAAACTAAGAGAAAATTAAAATGTATAGTAAGTTCTAGTACGATTCGAACTCGTAGGCAAGGCCAACTGCAGCTTCACCCTATCGGTAGAGGACTTTAAAACTGTTTTTCCAACGGTCGACAGGGTTTTTGCGGACAGTTCTTTTAATTCTATTACGAACCCTTCTACAATTGCACAGATAGCTCAAATTAGTGGAAGGGTCTCAATGGAATAAATCGTCACCGTCGTATGGTCTATAATTTTAGCTGTCAATTGTCAATTCGTCAATATTTCTGTCAAGACGTAGACATAATGAATTACTAGATATTTATTTCTTTTATTATGCTTTTATTATTTCTTTTATTATGCCTTCAGCTTCCTTACCATGATAACAGTGGGTCGCTACCCTCCCTTAGCTAAGCGCCCCGCCGATTTTGTCCTAGTCCCCTCCCATCCTTGAAAATAAGGAATCCCACAAAAGACACAGGTAGCCCGCGCGAATGTTAGGCAATTGTTTGATATATGCGCTGATATCCTCACATAGATTCCAATGGTTGACAATAAAAGTCTACTTCGGAGCTTCAAAAGTGTTTGGATTCCCTGTGTTAAGTCACAAAACAGTCGATACTAGTATTTTGAGTTCTGGTTTGTTCTGCCTCAAAACCATTGATTCGCGCGCAAGTATATAAAAGAGTTCTTGACTACACTTTATTTAATTCCTTAGCTATTAAAATTACACAAGCATTATTCTTAGGCGAGCCATTTAGTCATCCCGCGCGCCGATAATAAATGCGCGCCCTCGCGCTCTTTTGATCCCAACAAATAGCACTGGAAAAAATCTCAAGGTTGTAAATTTGATGTAAATATGGTGTAAGTGTCCAAAATTCTGTAAATTTAATGGAGATCATTTACATCAAATTTACAGGATTTTGGACACTTGCATCATATTTACATCAAATTTACAACCTTTAAAGCGCGCGATTTTTTCCAGTGTAATTTGGCAATTGTCGAGCTCGGTCTTCCTGTGTTGTTTTTAATTACGTATTGGAACACGTCATCAATCTAGTTATGACGTCACAAACGACAATCAAATCAGATTGATCGAGATATTAGAGAAAACATACGTGTTTTCAATTGACGAACGCTATATTAAGCTAAATTGTTCATTGCTAGCTTGACTAACTTGTAGAAGGAATATTT